ATGCAGTGTTAACAAAAACAAAACACGGGACTCTTAAAGTATAAAGCCACTCTGGAGCTGAAAACAGTAGCATAGACATGTGTTGACAGCTTTTCCCTGGTTTGGCTACTAAAAGCTGCTATTATTGGTGATCTGTTCGTAAGCAAGAAGCTGCCCAGCAGGAAGGAATTCCAACTCTGCACCCACAACTTCACTCCAGTAGAGATTGTCAAAAGACTTTGAATGTTTTGACTGGGGGCAGAGATATGGTTTTATGTATTGTTAAAATGTATAGGGTCCATGCTGCATTTCTTGTGAATTATGGTGCTTCTCTCATTTTCTAATACTTATATTGCTCTGGAAGAGACGCAATCTGTATATTTTTCTGAGGCATTGAATGAGAAAGTTGGTGTGGAAACATCATCACCATCCCAAACAGTGTAGCAATCCAGTGGTGAATGGCGTGTGTGCAGCACTGCTTCTCTGAGTTCTACTGCAGATCTCTTGTGCTATATACAGTGGAGTTCCTAAAGCTGATATTGTGCATCCATCTGACTCTCCTTGGGGTTTTGTTTCCTGGGAGGGATTTACATTCATAATGAGACAGTAATGAGTTTGAGAATCCTGGACTACCTGACAAGGTAGATTGAAAAATATTGTGTTCAATTGAGAATTATCAAAAAGCTTTCTAAAAAACCCATTTTTTTAATTTCACTTTTTTTTTTTTCTGCCAAGTGAATTTTATCTTGTGCAACTGCTGTAGAGGCTTGGGTTTTGCTCTTTCTGAGACTTTGGAATGGAGCTTATTTTCAGGCTCTGAAACTGAACTCTAAACAGGATAAGTATTATTAGACTCTTCCTGTTACAAGTCTTTGTAGTATCTTCCCTTCTTGGATCCAAATAGATTCTAGGCGGTTTGTCCTAGGAACAGATCTCCCTCCGAATGGCACGGGTTTTGTGCACTTCCTCTTCCAGCCAAGGTCCAGAAACCTACACTGAGCAGCAAGTCCGTATGCCTTTGGGAGTGGGGCTGAGTGTAACCATGGGTTTGGCTGCACTCAGCTGTTAGAATGATGCATAGAGCCTTTTGCGGTATGCAAATGTGCCAGCCCCTGGCTCCCAAATCCATGGAACTTGGCACTTCAGGTATTGATCACAATTCAATTTTGAAAATAACGCTACATCTTCAGGTGGTTTTCCTTTCTCATGTTTGTATTAAAAGAAAAGCTAATAAACTCTATTTTAATTAAAGCTAAAGGTGAATTGTGTGTTCTGTACAGCTGTCTGATATCATTCCCCCTCACAAGTATTCGGTGCTGTGCAGCTTCTCCCAGGTATGAAAAAAAAACAAAACAAAAAGAAAGAAAAAAAAAAAAAAAAAAGAAAAAAAAAAAAAAAAAAGAAAAAAAAAAAAAAAAAAGAAAAAAAAAAAAAAAAAAGAAAAAAAAAAAAAAAAAAGAAAAAAAAAAAAAAAAAAGAAAAAAAAAAAAAAAAAAGAAAAAAAAAAAAAAAAAAGAAAAAAAAAAAAAAAAAAGTGATGTGCATTAATCCATTCTCCCTTTGTTGTATCAGAGTGACCTGAGAGTGTCTGTGCAGCCGGCAGCAGAGGTCATCCAGCAGCTGTGGTGCCCGGGACGCCTGCTTCAGCTGAAGGCCTGGTAGAGTCTGGTGTAGCTGTTCAGCTCTTCCCACATGTCCTTTGGATTTAGAATTTGACTCACGCTGGTCAAACAAACACTCACTGACAGCTTCTTTGCACTTAAGTGGCCTTTAAGTAGGGCCAGTCTCTCTACAGGTGATTTGTTGTTTTTTAAGTCCTCCCTTGAGGATCATTAAATTGGAAGCTACAGGTGACCAACTCCTGGATTGACTTGTGACCTGATTGCTAAAGAGCTTTCCTTTCCTTAAGGCTGCCAGGTGCCTTCAACTTTGTGGGATGGGTTTGGATGTACTTTGCTGTGTGCTGGCACTGAGGCTGAGGGCTGCTTCTGCCATACATTCTGCAGGAGACAGCCACTCCAGACTTAATTTTACCTTAAATCTTAACTGGCTTTAGGTTTTCTGTCGCATAGCCCAGAGCACATTGTCAATAGGATTTCGATCTGTTGTTAAACAGGGCTCAATGACAACTCAGCTTCGTAGGAGAGGAAAAATAACAATTCCATTTAGCATTTAACATTTTGGTCCTCCAAAAGAGTTAACTCTGGAAAACACAGCTAGTGGATTTCTTAGGTAAACAACAAAGTAAAGCATACATCATCCCTTTTGAAGGGATGAGCAGTGATAGCGTTTCAGAAGGAATTACATTTGGGTGGTTCTGATGGAAGATGAACTGGCGGTGGGGGGGGTGCCCTATAACTTTCACTATTCCTTATTTTTTGGCAGCACTTTTCTTAAAAAGGCAAAAGAAAAATTCCAATCACAGACTACTGGAATTGCAGAGACGGTTACCTATTGCTGCTCCCAGGGAAGAGCAACCAGCTACAGGATCAAGGTACCTTGTTTCTCTTAACCCAACAGCTGACTAATATTTAATCTGTGTTGAGGTGGCCTCTGCCCGCACTGGCGTCAGGGCAGCGCTGCCCATCTGGCAGCCAGCACTGTTTGCAGAGACAACAGTTATTAGGGTATGGCCCGGCAAGAACCACGTGAGCCCCACTGGGAGCGGTGTCTGAGCGGCCAGCGGGGGTGGGAAGTCAGGGATGTGTCTGTGGGCTACGTGATGCCCTTGGGCTTCAGCAGCCCTTCCCCTCTGTGTACGGGGACTGTATTTTGTTTCTAAGGGAATTTTATGAGCACTACTTCAGCGTGGGTTGGGCAGTTAAGAGGACAGGCACTTCAGGGGTGGAATAAATGTCAAGACCATCGCTTCTGGGTAAGAATATGGGCATCAAGCATAGCCTGAGCAAGCAGAAGAGGAGGACAGAAGAGCAATTGAGGCAAGAGCTTGCCCAGGGGGTTGGCAGGCGTGCGTGGGGCAGGGTGAGCTGCCCTGTTCAGAGCTGAGCACCTGGGCTGCTCCCCCCGTCCTGCGCTGGTGTTTCCCACAGCACAACGGCGCAGCGGTGTTACGTAGCACTGACATTCCGTAACGCTATCTGGGAAAACTGCACTTGCACCAAGTAAGTTGTTTGACAATATACAGTGAAATGCAAGGTGCTGCCAAAGTGACTGGAGTGTGCTTACGAATGCAACCCCCCCCCCCCCGGCTTCTCTCAACTGACTAGCTTGGGACAGAGCATTTAACTGGCTGAACACGGGCTTGTTTGTCATAGGATTAGAAAAGTCTCAGGCTGCCTTGATGAATAAGGGTGGTTGTTTGGTGGTTGGGTTTTTTTTTTAGGCGAGACAACACTTTGGCTTCTGCTCTGTGATATTAAAACCTGTTTGAGAAGCCACGGGTCCTGTGCTGTCAGACACTGTCATTCCCCGTGCCACCCAGCCTGAAACTGCACTGTTCAGCCCCTCAAGAAGCTAGTGACAGCCTCAAGGGTAGCCTAAGCTGACCAAATGGGACAGGGCAAGCATGGGAGTGACACAGCAGTGCATCAGGCTGGACTGTGTGTCACCATGCGTGTCCTCACGGGAGCAGGATCCTGCAGGTGCTTCACAAAGGGCTGCCTGCAGTAATGGCCCTTCCCTTGCTCCGAAACAGTGGCTCGAGGTAGGCGGTGGGGTGGCAGCTCTGCCAAACTCCTACTTACTGAGGTGCTGAGGACACGGCGGCTTCCTGGCAGGTAAGGATGACAACAAGGCTGCCAGCAAGCTGCTGGAGTTACTTCCAGGGGCAGACAGCGCGTGTCTGCAGGGCCTCTGTAAGAACCTCATGCTGAGATGGTTCATGTCCCCTCCACACCCCAAAACAGTTGTCCCCGACAGTGTGCTTTGCCTGCACTTGAGCATGGGGGGCAGATCAGTGAGGAATCAGGTGAGTCATTCTCTACAGCTCACAGTTTATCCCTGGGTGCTGGAATGCTGCTTCCAGGTAAGAGATCCTATCTAGTGGGACCTGGTGTGTGCCTACACACCTAACTAGATAGCACAGTCCTGCACCATTAGTCACCAGGGAGCCAGCCTTAACCCCTTGCTGTCCTTGCTAAGTGCTCCTCCCAGCGCCAGTGAGCGCACAGCAGATGGCAACAGGGACACTCAAACGGGCGTGCAGCATCCCGCTTGGCTGAGAGCTGTCATCTGCTTGGCCTGACAAGTACCAAAGGGCACCTCTTCAGGGCCTGATCTCAGCGCAGGGCGAGGGACTGATACTGTACAAACTGCAGAACACCAATAAAATTTGATAGTTAACCCTCCTCCACCAGCCAGGCGTGACCTTGGCCTGGCAAGGAAACGTGCTACCAGCAAGGCCATGGCCACCAGCCGGGGCAGCAGCCCCTGAAGATTAAACCCAGACCAGTGCAGAACTGGGCTGCTGCACCCAGGCTAGGACGCCGTGGTGGCCCAGGGCACACCAGCAGTGAGGGCACGGGTGCATGACATCCCTATGCCCAGGGCAGCACTGCCTGGGTTTGGGCACACAGGACATGCTATTCCTGTGTGGTTGCCTCACCAGACCCCCACGATCCCTAGTGATAAGAGCCCAGCACAGCCCTCCAGCACACGCCTCCCTGCCCACAGTTAAGTTTTTACAGTAATTAATATTCTATCAATCAGAAGCAGAGAAAACAACACACACTTCTTTTTTTTGTCCTCATAAATAACTAATTTCAATACTTCTCTTTGAATAAAATTTCTTCAGCTTTTTCACAAAATATAGTACAGTTATTTAAACAACATTTAACAGCATCAGTAATGGAAGAGGCAAAAAAACCCACCATGTAAATTGGCTACAGCATACAGGGCACACGGCAACGGCTCCTTTCCCCCGCCTGCCACTTGTTGCTGAGAAGCCAGGCTCAGACACAAGTTGATTGTATTAACCTACCGTTAGATCAAAGCTGAAAATGCTCTTGCATTTTTCAATAGGCAACAGTTTCTAGCTGATCTTGGATTTCTCTTTTTTTTAAAAAAAAAAAAAAAACCAACAACTTTACACAGGCAGTTGCACTTTGAAAAAAAAAAACAAACCACCACCTTTGACATGGTTTTGTTCATTGTATTGCATGATGTGTGTTTAGCTGTATCTACAAAAGGCACTACTTTACACAGGCAGTTGCACTTTGAAAAAAAAAAACAAACCACCACCTTTGACATGGTTTTGTTCATTGTATTGCATGATGTGTGTTTAGCTGTATCTACAAAAGGCACTATAGAAAGAGAGGAGCCCGGCGAGGCGTGGATTGGAGCAGGTTGGAATCATTTAATGCCCTGGGTGACAGCAGGAGACTGCCCACAGCGTCTCTGCGCCTGGCCTGCCTCGCTGCTGAGAACACACCTGTCCCAAACCCGTATCAAAAGTCATTACAGCTTCTGTATGTACAAACCAGGCTATAACACAACTATTTACAGTTTGTAACACAACATGCTGCAATTCTGTCCATGATGGAGGACTGCAACACGCCGGAGGGAGAGAGCCCTCTGTCACAAGAGTGCTGATGTGTGCGGCTGAGCGGTCCCTGCCGAGCCCCAAGCCCTCCGTCCCTGCACCGCTGGCTCCTCCAGCCAGAACACCCCAGAGACACTCACACGGTACCTTGGCAGTGCCTTTATCAGTAGATGTGCCACTCGAGCGTCCCCCCTCACTTCCCAGGCTTTGGTTTTAAAACGAGGTGGAAACCTTCTTGACTGAAATGGTCCAAGGGCTTTGAGAGCAGCCTCGGATCCTTGCAGTCCAGCGGGAGCAAAGCCAGCAGTTGTTCTCCAGTGCTCGAGCAGCCGGGTCACGGTGCCACGCTTGAAGGCAGGCAAAAAGGACTCAAGTAATGGCTGGGTGGCTACATACGTGATCACCACTTAGGGCAGGGGAAAAAAAAAATAAAAAAAACCCCAGAAACAGGTACTTTCACAAGCAGGCTGAAGCCAGAGGCAGCCACCTCTCACCAGCTGTGCCCCATCCCATGCAGCAGTCGGAGCCCCTCAACCTGGCTGCGACCAGTGAAGCTGACAACAGGTTCCCCCCCACCATCACTCTACTCATTGGAACCCAGCTGTCACCACCACTTAACGCCAGGCACCAGTTCTGTCAGTGCTCTGTTGCTGCCTGATATGGGGAAGTGAAAAAGGCTTGGGAAGCTGGAGGAAAGGGAGTGCGAGCGCTCTGCTGTTTCCCTGCATTAACTGCTCACTCTCGAACCCAGCACTGTCTCCACAACGGGTGCAGCCTTGAAAAAAGCAGCAAGAAGTGCTAAAGCCAGCTGGCTCAGAAACACACACACCTCCCCATGCACACACTACCCACTGCTGCAGCAACACAACTACCCTTCTAGGGCTGGTTGTGCCACGCTCAGCCGCTGCACCGCGTGCCACAGCCGGCAGGGACACCCGCCTCACCCCAGGTAACCCGCTCAGAGCAGCACCGACCCCTTCCCAGAGCACTTGGCAGCCCAGGAAAAGGCTGCTCTCGGTGCCAGGGCCAGCAGTGCCCCGGGCTCCTGGCAAAGCCCGTGCTGGGACGGCAGCCTTGTCACCCACGCAGTCCCTCGGCTCCCAGGGGGGCTCTCACTGGCCCCAGCCCCTGCCCGGCCCCAAGCCCCCTGCCCGGGGAGAGCCGACACGCGCTTGCCCAGGGGAGAAGGGACCCTGGGGTTGCCAGGTCCCCGCCTGCACTGCAGACAGCTGGGACCCTGTCCCTGCCCACCTCAGGGTCCGGGTGGCAGTCCCTCTCCTCACCCCCCTCCTCCTGCACCGCCACCACCTGCAAAGCCCCCAGCCTGTGCGGTTCCCTCCCTCCTGCTCCGTGTGCTGCTGCCCGAGTGGGGCCAGCGGCAGCGTCGCCCCCCAGGACCCCCAGCCCTCTCCTCTGCAACACACAGCTCTGCCCGAGCACTCCGGGGGCACTGGGGGTACAGTCCCTCTCTGCCCAGGGAGCCCAGGCACAGCACAGCAGGGAGGCAGCCCCCCCATGCCAGCTCTCCCTGGCCCCCTCCCAGCCCCCTGGGCTCTGGCGAGTGGCTCAGTGCCAGTGCCTGCATCACTGGGGGTCAGGGACCACCACGCGCCCTGCCTGCTGCAGCTCTCCCCTTCATCCCAGCATCACCAAGACCTGACCAGGAGCTCATTGTGGAACACAAATCAGTGCTCAAGGGGCCTGCCACCGGGCTCAAGGGGCCTGCGGGCCGGCCACCTGACCGGCCCGCAGCCAGCAGCACCCCAGGACCCCAAACAGAGCATGGGACCCCAAACAAGGCATGCACGGCCATGCCAAGATCCAGGCCTCCCTGTCCCTCTGCCCCCACGTCACTGGCAGCACCTCTTCCTGCCCTGCCTGGGGCTGCGCCTGCTCCGTGCCCCGTGGGCGCACACGCCTGGTCCCGGGCAGCACTGCCATGATGGGGCTGAGGATGCCAGAGGTGGCCCAGCTGCCACCCCCACCGTCAGTGGCCCGGGGTCTTTGCTACCCTCTCCTCCCTGTGGCTGGGGTCACCGAGGCTCCCTCCGGTCACACGTGGGACAGTGGGACCTGCTTGTGGTAGGAGGCCATGCTGGGCAGCACCGTCCTGCCCGCCAGCGCCGGGCTGGCCTCGCCGTACATGGAGGCGCCCGCTGGCTTCCTGGCCTGGCAGCAGCGAGCCGTGAAGCGCCTCCAGGACTCGAGTGTCTTGCCAGACCAGATCCAGACGCCGGAGGTGATGCCCACCACAAGGCACATGAAGTACTTGAGCATGAAGACGGCATAGTCGGGCTTAGGGCGGTGGGAATCCCCCGGGCAGGAGCAGTTCTGTGCCCGCTCCCAGGCCTCCCGGTTGTGCTGCTCGTAGATGTAGCAGGCAATGACGATGGTGGCAGGTACGGTGTAGAGCACCGTGAAGATGCCGATGCGGATCATCAGCTTCTCCAGCTTGTCAGTCTTGGTGCCGCCCTGCTTGATCACGCTGCGGATGCGAAAGAGCGAGACGAAGCCGGCCAGCAGGAAGAGGCTGCCGGTGAAGAGATAAACCACCAGCGGTGCCAGCACGAAGCCCCGCAGGTTCTCCAGGCTCTGGTTGCCCACATAGCAAACCCCAGCCACCGGGTCACCGTCCACTGAGCTGAGTGCCAGTACAGCGATGGATTTGGCACTGGGGATGAGCCAGGCAGCCAGGTGGAAGTACTGTGCGTAGCTAGCGATGGCCTCGTTGCCCCACTTCATGCCGGCTGCCAGGAACCAGGTGAGGGACAGGATGACCCACCAGATAGAGCTGGCCATGCCGAAGAAGTAGAGGAGAAGAAAAACCACGGTGCAGAGGGCAGGACCGGTGGTCTCATAGTGGATGTGGTGGTGCTCCGGGTTGCAAGCCACGTTGGCGTGCCCTGCCACCAGCCGCACGATGTAGCCCACAGAGACGAAGAGGTAGCAAGCAGAGAGGAAGATGATGGGGCGCTCGGGGTACTTGAAGCGTTCCATGTCGATGAGGAAGGTGGCCACAGTGGTGGAGGTGGAAAGAAAGCAGAGGATGGACCAGAGGCCGATCCAGAAGGTGGCGAAGGTCTTCTCATCCTGGGTGAAGTAGGGCTGGTAGCAGGGGATGGCGCAGTTGGGTACTTGCCCGGTCCTGATGCGGTTGTACAGCGGATGGGACTCCTTGGAGATGGGGATCAGGGGCGCTTTGCACTTGCAAGTCCGGCCGCAGTCTGTTCCCGAGGGGCGCTGCCCGCCCAGCGGCGTCAGGTTTTTGGCCGTGTCCTTGGCCGGGCGCGTGGGCTTCCCGAAGAAAGGCGGCAGGGTGGTGGCTTCCGTGTGGTTGTAGCCCATGCAGAGCACCTCGGTGTCCCCCAGCACCGGCAGGCTGTCGCAGCTCATCCTCTCGGGCCAGGCAAAGCCGTACTGCTGCATGATGGGCGAGCAGCCGGCCTTGGCCCGCTCGCAGACGGAGCGGCAGGGGGGCAGCGGCTTGGTGTAGTCGGGCAGGCAGATGGGGGTGTACATGCTGCAGAGGAAGAAGCGCAGGTCCGGGGAGCACTGGATCTCCACCAGCGGCCAGAACTGGTGCACCTCCAGCCCGGCCTCGTCCTGCGTGTCGTGGTTGAACTGGTTGGGCATGTAGGTGAGGTTGTAGCCGATGCCCTTGCACATCGGCACCGTGATCTCCTGGCACACCAGCGCCTTGGAGGCGGCGCGCCCCGCCGCCGGCAGCCCCAGCAGCAGCGGCAGCCCCAAAGTCTGTCTGGCATTGCAAGCAGTTCCCAGGGAAGCTCCATCAAATTGGCAGTTCTTCTAGCCC